TAAGAATCTAATACTACAGTTATAATTTGGAAAACATTTCCAGCCACTAGAGAACATGTGGCAGACATTTTATGGATTATTTTTTAAATGTTTAAAAAAAAATGCTGATCTTATTCAGGGAATAGGGGCCTTTTCGTTTGCCAAAAAAGTAATAGGAAAACTGAAAGGCCACCTGTGTCAGCCCACCCTATAGAATGAACGTAAGTTATAAGAACATTTTGGAAAATATTTTTAAAGTGAGATGAGAAAAAATTCACTATCAATACACAATCCAGGCAGATGCAAATGGCTTCTGTGCATGTTAGTGATTAAGTGTGTAGCTTACACAGGCTAATTTCAGAAGCCTCTAAAATTCAATGTACTTTCTCTTTTACAGGTTATTTGAGATTAAAACTAGGACCTCATCCATATTAACTTTGACAATGGCTAAAACTTACAGGTTAAACTAATCACAGCAAGCAAGTTGAATTTTGCCTCTTGAGAGATGACTTTTTAATAACTCCTGGATTTTACCAGATATACTAAACTTAATATTTTGACAGTTGTTTATTAAAATTACTTTCTGAGCAACATCCGTGAAACCAAGTCTAGTTTTTATCAGAACTGAGGCAGTCAGAGAGAAGTTGTGATGATGGTACACATGCAGCAAGCAGACAATAGGAAAACTCTTAGCACTCCCAAAGTAGCATCAAATTTTCCATGGACCGAAACTAAAATGAAATAGTTCAATTACTGAGCGGTAGATAAGTAAAATAAACAACTAATTTCATACAGGGAAGCTGGGAGAGAGTCATATGGACCTCATTCTGTTGTCTCCAAACACTTTATCGGAGGAGAAAAAGGAGCTGAATAAACTTTAAACTCTCATGTAGGGATGTATTGCTTGTGTGTCCCTGGCAGATGTGGAAAGGAGATGAAATGGGCAAGGGAGAATCAAATATCCCATCGCTGCAGGTTTGCTGAGGGAAAGAGCACAGCAAAGATCTCACATCTGGCAATCATTTGTCAATAGCTGGAAAGAGAACGGCAGGAAACTTTCTGGCTTTTGGAGAAGATGAAAAGACAAAAACCATGTGTGTGTCTCTCTCTCTTGCGTTCTCTCTCTCTCTCACACACACACACACTGCAATGGTACAATGACTACTACACTTATTCTCCACCCCACACCCTCCAAATTTAATGATCTTCAGATATACTCTACTCCATGGTCAAAAACATGCAGTCACTTGACTTGTTAAAGCTGCAGTGTATGTACATTTTTCAAATAAACCCCAGGGCTGATGTTAGAAAATCAAAATCAGTCAAGCATAGACCGCCTGGTACTTTGGGCAGGAATCCTTGTGGTTTAGTCAATAAACAGAATCTGAATGAAAGACACCACAGTAACTAGACAGTAACGTTTTGAACAGTTCTTAAGCTGAAGTGGGGGCTGGGAAAGGCTGGTGCACTAGTGACCATGGATGTAAGGCTACTAGTCCACTTAAGAGCTCTCTAGTTGCAACATGACTGTGTTTAGAACAAGTCATCTGCTATTTCCAACACATGCATACATACACACACACACACACACACACGTGCAGAGTGAGCTTATACTTAGGAGATGTTGAATGAATTTGAAGAGGAATTTTTTTTTAATAATTATATCTATTTAATAGGGTAGATAGGGGTAACCAGATTCTGTTTCATCCATATTGGTAACAACAATATTAAAAAAGTACTGGTTTCATTATGAGTTCATAGAAATGATCAGATTTGCCTTGTAGGTTTATCATGAAATAAAATCTTTCAAGACAACACACACAAAATTAACTTCCTCAAAATGATAGGACTTTAAATCTGTTCATGGTGATTGATAGACTTCAACAGCAGCTTTGGTTCACCCTTATGCTGCATTTAACTAGCAGCAGCCTCTGAACTGGTCCCTGTGATTCCATAAGTGCTGCAGGTTGTTTAATAACCTGGCAAATTCACAGTAGCTTGTCAAATTATTACAGGAACAGTGTCATCACTAAACAAGCCTGATCACGGTTAATTACAATGCAGACTAGAGAGCAGCCACAATTGTTCATTAATTACAGGAAGCACCTCATTTAAATTTTATGGAAATTTACACTTGCACCCCGGTATGTCTGGAAAAAAAAAGTGATCATTCACGCATTCACAGAAGAAAGGAGTCTGTGGTTTATGAAACATCACAGTAAATTGTGTCTAATCTGGTACTGAAATATTGGTTCATTATTTACTCTAATTTCTAAGCACTTTAGTGGTGAAAAATATCAAGTCAAACCCCACATCTTGAATTCCCAAACAAGAATGAAACTGTGCTGGGCTAATTGTAACAAAAGCACAGTTTGACTAAGAAAGTAACATTTCTCTGATTCAAAATAAAATACTTAACAGCCATTAAGATAGTGCTAAATCAGAATAATCATTTCCTTTAAAATAATCACAAAAGAGCCCAATTTTTTGCTATGATATATCAATTAACCTTTCAGGTTATATAAAGTAGTTTGTAATACATATTTCAACAGTAACTGAGCATAATCAACAAAGTTAGACAGTATATGAAAGCCTTGATTTCCAACTACTTTTCTAAATCAAGCATAGTTACTGCAAAAAAATCAACAAATGCCCTTGCAAAAGTCAAGTCAGGCATAGACTTTAAGGATGACAGTCATTCAAAAAAGAGTCTTCATAAAAGAGTGTCATTGGTTTTTGGATTACCAAAAAAGCTGCTAAGCCATCTGAAATTTTAGGGCCAAAGGAAACAGGTAAGAACAAGAAGGGGTTCCAGCAGCAGTGAGAAATGCACATAGGTTGAAATATAAAAACAAAACAGACACAGGACTATGTATATAAATGAAAATCCTTCTTAGGAAAGGATATAAACACATCATTGCTCCTAAATCAAGGTGTAGAAGAGGTTATTCTCAGAATCTAGAGGCCAAACACTAAATCCTCTGGTGGTTACAATGCCTGGTCCTGAGGGAAATCCTGAGGTACGAGTATTAAGAGTTGATAGACCCTGGTCGGATGTCCTATGTAATGTCTCTGGAGTGTAGAGTTGGACTAATAAGCAGTGGCTCACTCCCTAGGAGAACAAAAAGATCAGAATACATGGTATGGCAAGAATGAAGAGTTCAAGTTAAAACTGACTCCTGGAACTGTTAGTTTGAAAATAATGCATTAAGCGTCAAGGTTTTAATAACATAATATGCTCAAGTATCACATATTATTAAAATGTAAGGAAACCACAATTTAAAAAAAGAGGAAAAGTGGAAGGGAATGGTTCAAGTGAGCCCTAGTTAGTTCATTGATTCACTGGAACTATCTTTAAATAGATTCATCCTTTCTAAGCTGTCCACCAAGATGATATTGCAAATGAGAATCCAACAAAAATGAGTACTTTGCTTTCTTTTCCCAGAACTTGGTCTTTTTTTAAGGCCCAAGCTGAATCATCAACTCCACATCTGTTCACCTACAACCAGGATTTCATTTAAACTTGTAAATATATATTGTCTCCCTTGGTATGTCAAAATAATATGCTCCACTGGTCTCTCAGTTTTATTTCACAAACTCACATCTGCAAAACCCATTGCTATTTGCACATAACTCAAGGTTCAAAAACAGATTATTCAACAACCACCCATGACAGACCATTCCAGGTGATATGTTTGAAGAACATCACTCGTCCTACCCAATGAGGTCAAGGATCAGACTGCCCTCCACAAAAAGTCTTCCATCACACTGCATTTATGTGTCACACACAAGCTGTTAGCTTTCTAAAACTGGGAAGTGCACGATCATGTCTCATATGTGTCACACCTGCTTTCTGATGTATCAGAGCCATTCACCACCCAGACAGTACCAGCTTGTGGCAGAGCAGAGCTCAGGTGGTCTTCCCTAGGCCAAGAGCAGGTGTGCAAGAGATGTTGTACTCTTCTGTGCCATAAAAACTGAAACCACCTCCTATCATCATTGCCACCTTCAGTCCCACTGTGAAGAAGTCAATTTTTAAAACTATTCACTTTTCTCTTGTGAGGCATCTAAATCAGTAAAAATTTTTCAAAAACCAAGCTCACCAGGCTCAACCCTCAAAGTCTAAAAATTTAGAAAACAATGCCAAATGGTGGTCCTGGAGAAAACAGCATGAACTTGATCATGCTAGGGATAACATCCATGTTAAAACATCATCAGCATACAAGTTCTATAAAAACTAAAAGATACATGGAAGTGGAGACAAGATGTCATTTTCTATTTAGCCAAGATACCATGTTCTATTTTGCAATAAAACAAACTACCTAGTGACTGAGGAAAATGAACTAAATTCTAAGTATTTTTTCATAAAATGTAATTTTTTGCTAATAAATCTAAATAAATGCCACAGAACATATCTCCCAATCTGCCAGGAGGGAATACTTACCATTAAGTCCTATTTTTGTACTAGAGGTCCCAGTTAAATGGCTTGTATTCTCCAGAAGACAATAACTAAGAAAGTGTGACTGGCTCACTAAGTATCCCCAGTGCCTAACATGGTGTTTAGCAAAGATATTAATGTTTTAAAAAGATGACTTAATATTTACTGAGTGTGTGTTATGTGTCAAACTCTAACTCCTAGGTATACACGGAACATCAGTGCTCCAGTACACTAGCTTGTACAGTGAGCAGTTCTTAGATGAGGAAGTTAAAGCTCAGTTAGGTTGAATGATTGCCACTGATGCCACAATAACTTGTGTCAACCTACGCAGTCAGCCTTCAGAAACTGTTCTTATCCGCTACAGTCTATACCATTTCTTTAGTGAATAAATAAATGAATGATCTCTAGTATAGACAACTTGTCCTAAGAGGACTTTTTGCTGCATATATGCTACATTGGTCCTTCCTTGACACCTGTTGTAACGGTTATTCATCTCCTGGTGGCACTGACTTATCTGGATAGCTTTTAGGGACCTCTGGTTCTGTAACACCACCCCAAACTTATAAAACAATAAGACTCCAACCTGGACTTCCAGCCTCTGGTCTGGCTCCTCCAGGTTTGGGCAAAAGTCTGCACCCAGCACTCTGCCAGCACATGCCACTGGAACCTGGGGGAATACGGCCGAGTTAGATGCTGGGTGTGGAGGCTGCAGATAACTGCACACAAATACACTTGACCCAGACAGAAGCAGGGACATGCCAAATATGGTTATGTAACAGGCTATTCTAGCTTCACAGGTCCTTAACAATTTGTAAGTCACATATATTGTAAATATCACACAATGAAGTTTATTAACTACCAAAAGGTAAATTTCAAGAAGAAAAGTACCTATACATTTTATTTCCCTTTACATAGACAGTATGTTGTACTAAGTAGGCATTTAATAAATATCGAAGTAAAAAGAAAGGAAGGAGATGAAGAAAGGTTGGGGGTTGGCAGGGGACAGAAACAGAATACCTGATGCACATTGTAGGGATTTTTTTCCTATCTTTTAATTTTCTCATGTGGAAATTAAAAAAAAAATCATTCTGTAATGAGTAAATTCCTTTTCACTCTTTATCTGTTCAAATTACCTTTCCTTTTTGGTAAAGCCTAGTACATAAGCAGACATTTTTGTTATTTACTTATCTTTAAATTACATATAAGAGGGTTACTTGATATGAGAGCTGTAATTTAATGATTATGTTTCTGTACCTTGAATTTTAAAACTGAAAGCTATTAGATTCACTTTCAAAACTAAGTTATCCATTACAAGTAGTCAAACTCATCCTGAATAAATACTCCAATCACTTTTGTACTTCATTGTACTTTATTTTTTAATTTGAAACAAAAAAAGGGGAGAGGGGGAGAAGTAGAAATCTACAATATGTTCTAGACTTTTATTTTTAATCTGGAATCACTAACAATTACTTCAAAACAGGCACTAACTTCCCAAACCATCAATCAGCTTTATCTCTCCTGTGTCTTCTTTCCTTATAGAATCCCTCCTTTGGTATTCTGCTGTTTATAATTTTTAAGTCCAACTAGGATCATTTGTTTCAATGGATTTTTTTTTAAGAAATTAGTTTTCTGCCAGGTATACTGCCTTAGAAGGTATTTCTCTCTTCCTCTGAAACCACAAATCAGTTCACTTATCCAAATTTAAACAAATGTCAATAAAATTCAGTATTTCTAGGCCCTTCCTGGTGGCCCAGCGGGTTAAAGCACTGCACTAAAAATCCAAAGCCACTTCCACATGAGTTCGATCCCTGCCTGCCCCGGAGGTGATCCACCTGGTGCGTCAGACCTCTCCTGACCCACCCTCTGCTCCCCTCAGCAGTGTACTTCATCTTTCTGCCTGTTCTGCTCCCCACTCTGACTCTGGCAAATCCTCTCACCACCCCTGCACCTTTGGCCTGTACCCCAGTTCTGTATGCACAAATAAATAAATCTTCCCCCCCAAAAAATTCAGTATTTCTAGATCCAACTCTCTATCCTCTCAAGTCTCTTATTTTCTCTTCCTCTGTCCATCTGTCTTTCAAATTAACTATTCTTTATACACAAATTCCATCAGCAGAAACCAAGAGGGCTAGAAAAGGGAGTCGCATTTATTGAGTATCTGCAATGTGCCATTGATGAGCACCTCCATTTTGCAAATTAAAAAAAAAAAGAGAAACAAGGCTTAGGATAGGTAAGTAACTAGCTCAGATTAAATTGCTAGAAAGTTTCAAAACTCTAACTTAGTAAACATGGTAGAGAACATATTGCAAAGAAATTAATGAAAAACACACAACAGTTGCATTTAGTGGCATCCATCCTATAGGCATTTGCTAAAACTTCACATGAAAGAAATGACAAGAAAGACAATTGAAGGAAATGGAAAAGGTGCTGTCAGAAATCAAAGCCTGCTACTTGTTCTTTGGTCTAGAACAACATAAGTGAATTTACCCTCTAACTTGAGGAATAAGAAGAAATGTGGCATGGAGAAGAATAGAGACACTGTATATTTGTGTCCTGTCACATAGAGGATGATGCTGATCCCACCCTCAGCTGACATATGGAGGGGCACTAATGAGTTCTGCTTCAGTAATTCTCCCTATGGTGCAATAGAAGGATTAGGAGAAAAAAATGTTAGACTATCCCATACCAAAGTAACATCCTCTCAAAATGTTTCCTATAAAAATCTCAATAAATGTGACTATTTAACTGATTAAAGCAGAATCATAAGCCAGAATGTACATATTGACAATTGAGTGTTAATATTTACTTTATGTACCTAAAATAATTCCCTCTTTATATTATTTAACCCATCAAGAATACTAAATTTCTAGTACTATTTTATCCTCACAGAATGTATTTTATAAATACTCTCCAGTGCAAAGGAGAAAGTTAAACAACTACAATTATACTCACGACCTCAGACACTTAGAAATATAGTTTTTGAGAAAACAAAAAGGTCTGTAAATAAGTTGGAAGGAAACTGTTAAAATGTTTCAACAATTCAAATCACAAGAAGGAACTACTAGGGAAGTGGGTGGCACTCTTTTTTTAAGTTTAGAATCCTAGAAATTCTGAGCTCACACATACACACACACACACACACAAATCCCTTTAAAATCCACAAAAATGGACTCCCATATTTAAAGATGAAAATATTGTGATTCAAACCAAAAACTGCAGTATTTCACAGTCTGACTATACTTCCCCCTCCAAGCAAGCAATGTTTGCTAACCTGATACAAAATGTAGCAAGAAAAATACAAATATTAAAAAAAAAAATGGAAATTGATAAAACCTAGCTATACTTTGGCACACCTATTCAGAAGCCTCATAGTTACTCCACTTACTACAAGTGATCAAAAAAAGGTGACTAAAAAAAGGCATAAATTGCCTAACTTTAATATCAGTTCATTACTCCACTTACTACAAGTGATCAAAAAAAAAAAAGAAAGAAAGAAAAAGAAAAAAAGGCGACTAAAAGAAATGGCATAAATTGCCTAACTTTAGTATCAGTTCATTTTATATGAAAATAATAAAAAGTGTTATGTAACCACTGTTTCCATTGTTATACAAAGCTTAAACTGATTGGGGATCTTATCCACTTTCCTTCATTCTAGTGTTTCAATGCCATAGCTTAAAACAAAGTTGTACAATGTTTTTTTACAAACTGTTCAGTGACTTTTTTCTCTGAAAACTTTCCATTTGTATTCGTTTTGCCACTTTGTATCTTTTGTTTCAAAATAATAAAAGCATTTCAGTTAAAAAAGAAAACACAAAGAAAAATACTGATCAGTTAATATTTCTAAACATTATGCCACAGGTTTAATTATGGGATGACAATTGCCTAGTACTCACCTAAATTTCATTCCACTGGTACTGTAACAGGAAGTAAGAGGCTTTTGAAAGGGACCCTCTAAAATCCCCAGGGTAAGCTGAAGCTAAGTGCACGTGTACTCTCCTGTACATACCTCAAAGGAATCATGGTGTGTGAGAAAGCTACTTACAACTTACTTTGTGTATAAATCAGCAGAAACAAAAGATATGACAACAAGCATAAAGACCTCTCTCTCTTCTCTCAAGAGAATTCAGCAAAGGAGGGCCAGTGGGCATTCACTTCAGTGTCAGAAGGGCTTCCAAAAAAAAAACATTTTGTCTGGGGCAGGGAGGAAATATGGCAGGTTTCCTATACTCACACTCAATCTCTCTCTCTCCCTCTCTCTCTGTCTCTGTCTCTCTCTCTCTCTCACACACACACACACACACTCTCTCTCTCTCTCTCTCTCTCTCTTTTTTTTACTAAAATCACACAAAGGACTGCTAGGGACCACCAGACTTCTGAAAACACAGCAAATAAACATCATCCCACATTGTAAACAGAAGTACTATTCAAAATTTAGAAGCTGAATAGATAGAGAAGGTAAGTGCCATGAAAGGGACAAAAGAAGAAAAGCACAGAAATGACAACTTAGAAATGAGTGGCCATGAAAAACAGTTAAGAAAGTCTGGGGTGCTTTAGCAGAGCCAGGGCCCATCTGAAATTTAATTTTTAGACATTAAACATTCAGGTAGGCATTTGCCTGGTAGGCACTATAAAAGTCACAGCCTAAATAAACAAACTAACTTCCATATCAGCTCAAGTCTCTTTGGTTAGGCTGGCCACAAGCCCAGATCAGTACTCAAGTGTATGTTTTGGTGGCTTCAGTTTAGTGGTAAAGAGATGATGGAAACTATCCGAACCCAGAAGAGCTTAGAAATGAACAGATAGACAAAACTGGTTTTCAAACCAGAGAAAGAGAAAAAACAACATAACCCAAAACTGAGTCCCACCAGAGGACCCAGAGACAATTCAGAAAAAAGCAGATAGAACTTCAACCTAATTTCACTGGTGAGCTGATGCCAAGCAGCAAGAGGAAAAATTACTCAGAATAACACAAAGAATACAGGAAGACCATTAAGTGAAACGGATTTGACAATAAGTCAGCCAGGAGCCCTTGTGAAAAAGAACAGATAAAGAAGTAAGTTAATTACCCAACACTGTAAAGATGGAGATATATGCTAAACACACTGCTGCAAAATAAATAAATACAAAAATAGAAAGTAGGAAGGGGAACTAACATAGTAGATGTACCATCAATTTTTCAGGCTATCATTTAATTAGAAGACAATAGTCCAGACCTAAACTTTCTCAACCATGGAATCCCTAGTTAAGATTTAAGGCCCAGGGAAACAGAATCTAAAGCTCCAGAATGAAAATGCTTCTCACAAAAGGGTTGGTGAGTCAAACCACATTTATCCCTTTTCCAGTATGGAATGGACAGAAATATGCTCATTCTTTTAGAGGCCTTAGATGAGGCAAGACTGTATCAACAGGAAAATGATAAGGGTAAGAGAGAGATTACAGAACTGAACAGGCAGGGAACAGTGTTCCCTCTAGAGTCATCCTAGAACAAAGAATGCAGGGTCAGGATAGGAGAAGAAAGAACGGGAAAGGGTCAAGTTTGTGATTCCGTTACTCAACAACGTGACAGGCACTGAACACGATTGGTGGGAGGACAAAATGTCCACATAGCAACCTGAAACGACTTGAGATTCATTTTTTTCTGGCTCTGGGGAGCTGGCCCTCAGGGTA